CCGGGGAAAGCACCTGTGTTCATCTCCAAGAGCGTACGGTGTAAACGGAATATAAAGCCATCTGCTGATTTAATTTGAACATCGGAATCCTGTTCATTAACTTTTCAAGCATATTAATCCTTACGGTTATTACATTAAAACTATGGGTACTAACACCTTGTATTCACCCAGGGCTGTTCAACAACATTAAGAATGGTCGGGGCTGTTACTGCTTGCGCAGGGGGTGTTTGTGGATTCAGACTTAACGCCCCGATATTAAAAGTAAACGCAGCAGGTTGAAACAGCGGAGGCGGAGGCAGAGTTGGAGTTGTAGAATTTGTGGCCATCGCAATGTCATGGGCAGAAGCCAACGATGTAAAGTTGCCGCCAGCGGCCGTACTTCAAATTCAGGCGGCCCGAGATGCCCGTTCAGACTGACTTAAAAAAAAAAAGTTTTTTTGCGACTTTCCGATGACTCAGTTTCTAAGATGGGGGCCTCTACCTTACGTAGGATTCAAGTGTTATGGAATGACAATAGACCAGCATGAAAACTTCATTTTTATTACCATGTACAATTATAAGTACGCTGTGCCTGGCCGTACTTCAAGTCCAAGGCAAGCCTAACCGAAATGGCGATATAAAATACAGATTGGACAGACCTTTCTAGTTTCTCTTGTTCAAAAAGATGATAAATCTTCCTTCTAACAGCCTAGTTCTTCTGAGACAAAAAGCTGCTGAAGGAAGGAAGGTTACGAATTTTTTCTTGGCATAAATTGGTCAAATTGTTGACATGACGGCAAGCAGGGACCAAGGTTACTATCCCTGCGGGGGCCGCACAACAAGGGAGAGAAGGATATAGCACCGACGGGGCTGCAAGTGCGCCCTTCAGAGACGAATGTTGCCCAATTCCTTCCAGTTCTGCGATTAACGTGAAAAGGCCACATTGACATTTATGGCAGATCGACCTGTTGCCGGCCAAGGTGCTAGGCTCATGACACTGTTTTGTAGAAGTAGTCACAGGCAGGTCCTTGACATACTTTGTTGCATCTCTAAAAACCGACTGCCACGCTTCGTGGTATTGCGACTGCGCAAGACACTCGTGTGAGAGATTGTAATTAGAATAATGTAGTAGATATCACTTTACCCAAGCAAACATATGAAGTGGGGGCAATCTCTTCAAAATTGGGATTGGGGGAGACCGAGTGAGATGTAGGACGGCTTCGTTCATCAGCCTTGGATGGTCGTGTTTAATCGCATGGACAAATATATCAAGTGCATTCTTGGGAAGGAATTTCCTAGATGAAAAGCAAACAAAAAGGGTCAGCGATACAGAAGTTATGCAGCAATGAAACCACCATAATTACATCATTTGCATGTTACAAATGTTCATGGCAGAGTATACCTCGTATTTTCCAGCAGCCTCCGCTACAGCAGCAACAATTTGAAAAGGCTGATTCTCCAGATCCGGGTGTCTTCTCGGATAAGAGAACGTAAAAAGAATTGCGAGAACATTCCCACTTTCAGTGAGCCGTACAGGTTCTGCACCTGTGGGTACCTCAGGACCAGGAAAGGCGCCTGTATTCATTTCTAAGACTGCTCGATGTAAATGGAATATAAATCCATCTCCGGATCGAACTTGCACGTCGGAGTCTTTATCGCTAACTTTTCTGCGTTGAGTTCCTTTCACGGTACAGCAAAACTGTCGAATTCTAGGAATACTCACACTTTGTGTCCACCCAGGGTTGTTCAACGGCAATTATGCTACTGACTGATGTAGTTGAACTTGATTGTGAACTCTGACTCTGAGCTGTGTCAGTGAAGGTAAGGGGGGTACATCTGCTGGAGCCAAATCAAAGGCTGACCATGTGGGGCTAGAGACTGGAATGCCATCGCTATGGCCTGTACTTCTAGTGACAAGAAAAGTTCAAGTTCTAAGTTGGTCAACTACATACTCCTTACGTCATGTCGTGCGGTCTTAAGGAACGTGGACCGAGGTTAGGAAAGTGTAACTAGGAAAATAATGTGCAAAACTCTACATACGATAAAATAAAAGTCAAGTATGCACAGCCTGTCATATTAATGCATGATTACTAGGTAAAGTTAAATAAACTCTCAGGCCAGTGGACATCAGAGAAAGATGGCAGGAAACACTGCGCTCGCTATAAGTACTGCTAATCATCATCCTCTCCCTCGACAAACTCACTAAACGCGGGGATTGATTCGAGCTTCTCGAGACACGCCTTGGCGAGTAAAACAATATGATCGCACTTTGGAGATGGCTTCGGAGGAGGAGCAGGGAAGAACGACTGTCGATCGTCAAATCCAACCGGCGCCTTGCAGCAAGGGGAACCGTTAGGCCAGACACAAGCAGCAGAAAGAACCCTTTGCAATGCATGAATGGAATCGTGTTCTTCGATGTTTGTGACCCAAGTATAGAGCGAACTTCGGCAGGTGTTGCAAACAGCACGTTCAGTATGACATAGATTCAGTTGGCTGGCAGAGGGCAAGTCTTTTATAGTCTTCCTGGCATCCGAGAAGATGACGACCATTTTTCATGATACTCTGTCTGCAAAGAATTATTAACAAGATAAGGGCAAGGATTATGAAACACGAAATACCCAAGGGAGGAAGTAATGTGCAGGTAATCTTTGAGGACTGGGATTAAGGGTGTCCGCACAAGATATGGATAAGCATTATCCGCGAGCTTTAGATGACCGTGCTTGAGCGCGTAGGTGAATATTTCTATTTTACGATCCGGAAGAAATGACCTGTAAGAGGACGCCAGTGCCAACCACAAAATGAGAATATCTCTTCCCGCTTAACGGAAATCACAGGATAGCTTACTTCAAACGCGCGTTACAGGTGTTAATAGCAGAGTAAACCTCATACTTCCCCACCGCTTCAGCGAGTGCCGCCACGAGCTCAAAGTCCTCGTCCTGAAGGTCCGGGTGACGTTTTGGATACACGAAAGCGAAAAGAAGTTCGAGAACGTCACCAGATTCTGTCAGCTCGATGACCTCGCCCAGAGTGTCGACTTCTGGACCTGGAAATGCGCCAGTGTAGGCCTCCAGGAGTGTTTTGTGCAAGTGAATTCGATCCCGTCTGAGGACCGAACCTTGACGTCAGAGGTGTTCGGACTAACTGGGACGAATTGAACGCGTCAGTAGACAAGACACAAGTTACTCGAGGCAAAATGGCGACTGACATTTTTCATTCATAAAAGATCTAACGTGAAAAAGTAGTTGGTTGGATTCAAGAAGCCTTCAAGACAGTGGTTTCGGGAATTGCCATCATGGAATAGCAGTTGCACTCCAGTCATTTGTCAGCCTCCAAGGACATTTGGTTTTATGGCGTACAACGGACGACAATTCCTACAGTATATATACACAGCATCTGGGTCATCTTCTTGCCAACAGTTCCCTACGTTCCCACTAAATCTCCCAGAGATTCTGCATCCAGGTATACGAAAACGAATTTACAAGTTTCCAAGAATAGCATTTCACCTCTCAAAACCTTTGGCACGGCCTCCGCCCCTCCCTCCAGCTCTGTGCGGTACGACACGTCCTCGTCCTCTGCTTCTTGCGCCTAGAACGATGTCTGCATGTCCTGCATCTGCATGTACTCCACCACCCCTTCCTCGGAAAGTAGTTGCCGGCGGGGGATGATCTAACTCAGTATGACGTGTGTTATGCCCTTGAACGGCTCCGCCGTAACTTCCACTGCGACTGCGACCTCGGCCACGGGTCCCTCTTGGCAGCTGCGTAAATCCGCCTTTCGCTCCTCGGTTAAATCTCACAGAATTTGGGACGAGAGTAAGGGAGTTCAGGGAACTGGTAAGGCTTGCCATGTTATTGTTGGAATTGTTATTGGAAGGACTTCTTGTTTGTCGAGGGTGCGCGGTGCCCCTCGACGATGACGATACAGAGGACTGGGGAGAGTGGATCCCGGTCGTTCGAGGAAGCATGCGTGGTGTAGCTTCTAGGTCCGCGGTTTCCTCTTCGTCGTCCTCCTCTGTTTCAGCACTCTCTTCACCCTCTTCTTCCTCTTCCTCTTCCTCTTCGTCGCCTTCTTCTTCTTCGTCCTCATTCATACCCTCTTCACCCCTGTAAGTTTTCATATCCACATCTTTATCTTTTTGCTCGCGTGGCTTCCATTCCTTCCTGATCATGCTGGCACCATCTCCCCACTTCTTTAAAAGGCCACCAATACCTTTATTCGTGACAGCGAAAAAGTATTCCTTGGGATATCCGTGGGCCTGAATAAGATGCAATCTTCTAGCCTTGGGAGTGAGAAAGCTGCGCCCACAAGCCGGGGCGGGTATGTGGCATTGGAACTACCGATCAGACTTGCATCAGAGAGTAGTAAAATACGGATGGGTAGTCACACACAATTTTGTCGCCGCGCTCCTTCCGTAGCGCTGCTAACGGATCGTGGCATTCGGTTTGATGCTACAGCATCCAACAGCATTGTCAGAGGTGAAGACACTAAGAAAGAAAAACTCTCTGACCAATTCTAATAGCCTAGCATCCGTAAAAACGCATCCACACTTGTTAGTCTCACACACAAAAGCATGGTGAGTCGCATAATGTCTTTCCAGTTCGTTGGTATCTTTGAGTGGCGTAGGACGATGATGGCAAGTCGGGGGTAGATTACAATACAATGGGTAGCTGGTTTGAGTTACAGCGCTTCCTGAGCCTCCGGTAGTAGAATTATCAAAGTAGGATGTTGAGGAATCGATTACGCGAAAGGCTTTGTTTGGAGGATCTGCAGGACCAAGGAGAGATGGCGAAGACGGGCCAGAAGGAGCCCGGGGTCGTTTTGCAGTTGTCGTTGAAGGATTCATTGGCTTCTCGAGTCGAGGAATAAGGAATAAATGATTAGAGTACAAAATGGATAAGAATCGCTGACGAGCGCTTGTGAACATGATGGTCAGGGTCGAAGGTCAATAATACTCCTTCAACTCTTGGGGAAAATGAGAAGCAAGTCGCGTTAATTACATTTCGTGAAAAAAGGTTAACATGTGCCCCATGGCTGAGTTGGTTACAGCGTCCGACTGTTAGCTTCGCTTCACAACAAGCAAGCAAGCATCATCGGAAGGTCGTGAGTTCGAGCCTCACTGGGGCAGTCAAATTTTACTCTTTTTTTCAGGCTGTGCATGAACTTCATTATTCGTTCTCTTTTTTCAAGTAAAGCAATTTATCAGCAGAAAATCGTGGCATTCTCATAAAACCGCAACCTATTATAGTCTGAGATGGGAAGACTGTGTACAATTTGTACTTCATATAAGTTCCAAATTAAAACAAGCACATTAATGAAAGCAAAAAAAGAATTGTCCCGGCCGAAGTTTGTTGATACAGGATAGAAACATTGCAATGCAAAGGTGTAATCTTCCGGAAGTGAACGAATAGTAATAGAGATGATGACTTTGATCCATCCATTAGATTATCTCCTAGCAATTGATCCCGTCGAAACTGGAGAGGAGTCAAAATACCCTCGACCATAATACGAGCCGCCGCTTCCTTGCGCTGGAGGTACCATGTTAGGCTGTGCGGGCGCATAAGCGCCTTGCGGAGGAGAAGGTGTATACATGTAAGTAGAGGCTGAAGAGGACGCATAGGAGTTCTGAGACATGTGTGTCGGAGCAGAAGGTGCGTATGGGTTGTAGGCTGCGGTTGCCATCGAATGAGATATTGCAGCCGGCGAGGCCACAGGGGTGTCCTTGGGATACAGAGGGACAGTCGGGATAAGTTCGCATACGTGTTGAATGATGTTCTTCGTTCGCCCAGACGTGGATCCGGAGTCTGTGCCGTTCATGACGAAATGGACTTGAGCCTCCAAAGCCTCATCGTCCCCAGAGTCAATGGATTGGTGGTTCTGGGACTCACGCCACGACCGTCCCATGTGCAACGTACTTCATTTCCAGGAATGATCTGAGCTAGGCGTCCCGTCTCAACGTGCCGTACTTCGATGAAGCGGGAATCAAAAAGGACGACGTAGGGAGGATGGAACGCCACGCGTTCTGCTGTGCCCTCCCATTCAATCAACCCAAATGACCGACATGGTTCGCCATGCTTATCAACATACAGTCCAAATTCTGTTTATCTCAATTAGGTCCTGTCAGCGTCCATAATACATTAAAGCACATACCATCATAGCAAAGGAGGAATTCGTCTTCATTAGACCTAAACATTCCCAAAGGTTTAGCATTTTCACATCTTTTGGCCAGTGCAGCATGCTTTGGGTCTTCACGTAGTGGAATGGTGATACTGTCAAAGCTGAGGTGAAACGTCAGCTAAGTGGCATACGTAATCACAGAACAGCATACTCTTGGAGGTTCATGATTTCGAATCCTTTGGCGCAGAAGATGGCTATCCGGGCCTTGAGGAAAATGACATCGAAAGAATCGGATGGAAGGAAGAAGTCTCGGTAGATCCTGAACCACTCAGATTTAGTCGAACGGAAACCAAGACGCGACCCAAAGCCAGCTGGGGCCTTGACACCTTCATTGATTTTATCACTAACTGGCTCGAGGACGCGGAAGATACTGTTCAACTGTTAAAGGGTCAGTTACACCGGTGGTTGTGTAGAAGAATAACGCATACGGATTTCTTCTTCATGTAAACGATGAGTGTTCTCCCTTGAAGAGTACCAACGCTGAAGAAATGAACATCTTTTGTACCACTAAGCTTCTGAGGAACCTGAGCAGTATGTGCACCCTGAGGCGATGAGGGTACAAGCGCCTCTATATGATAAGCGAAGAGCGCCTATAGCATGACATGTCAGTAAGAACCTGGTTCAGATCGAAATAAACAAACCTTGTCTGCTAACACCAAAAAGATTCCAAAATCTTCAAGCATAGCACACTGCGTGACCATCTTCAAATGGAGGACGCGACGTATAGCTAACGAGAGGAGTTCAATATGTGGTCGATGGACAGACGTAACCAGGACTTACACTTTGGATCATGTCGGAACCCAATCCACACTCCTTCCGTACACCCAATTGCGACCAACTTGCGACCATCAGGTGTACCTAACAGTCGCTCAGTGTGCTGGTACTAAGAAGAGAAAAAATACACATACTGAAAGGCACAGAACAAGTTACCTTGCCAGTAAACTGATTATCTTGATTCCAAGCCGGTCCGGCAGCATTAGCAGTGATAGATGGCATAACAAACGTATCCCTGCTCAAATATTCAATCTCGAAGACCTTGTTGGATTCTTGCACAATCTTGCGGAGACCAAGGGCTTCCTCGAGCTTCTGCTTCCATTCCGTACGGGTTTGGGCAGATTCAGCGTACAGGATATACGGACCACCAGTTCGACCGTTGTGATGCAGCGTAAGTGGATATACGGATCGCGAGTCGGTTGCACTCTCTGGTGAGACTCCAGCAGCTATACTGGCGCCATCGTGTCGTTCGCCAACTCGCAGATTGCGCAAGATGCCTGCGCTGCGTTGCGTGGGAGGGTCAGTGAAGTTGACAAGCGTAAGTAAGTCGAGAGGTATGGGCTAGATATCAGAGGGTCAGTAAAACAGCAGGGTTGATATAAAAAAAGCGAAGCTTGCCCGACGATTGACGACGTATTTTGTGATACCGTCCTTCTCTTTGGGTTTGGTCATGACGACTATAAAGGTGTAAGAAAGAGACAGCATAAAGGTGGCAACGACTGACGATAGTTATCAAAGAGAAGCACATGGAGTTCGCTCCACGAATTCCATTCAAGGGTACCATCAGGTTGGCGGAGGAGCTTGCCAGCATGTATGAGTTGGCGATTTGGGTCGAGTAAGTCCATGTCCTAGAACGTGATCAGGCCAAAATGAGCGATATCTAGAGACACAGAGAACGAAGACTGACAATCGCTTCTCCCTGTTTGAACACCAAGTTGGAGTTGTATCTCCACACTTCTACTTTCTGCTTGGCTGACACCACTCCAGGTTCCGTCTCCTTTCCGAGAGCCTTGATAACGTCAATGACATTAGGAATGGACTCAAGATCTTCATGTCCAGGCGGCGTTTCGTCCATGATTCCCTTCAGAAGAAGGTCGTAACGCAGCAGACGAGGGATAGGCCGGTTAATGAAGTTTTTCATGTCCAAACGATGAGCATCGGGATGTCGAACGCATTGCTAGAATAGATTAAGCAAATAGCAATCTCGGTCTTCAACAAAACCACACTCACATCAACAAAAGTCTTAAACGCCAAGTTGTTCGCCATCTCGTCGTCAATCCGGTACGCAGCAATAGGATAATTAGGGATGTACTCCATGTACGCCTCTCTGAAATTCAAAGCAGCGTCGAACATAGCAGCAGTGATACTGTTGATTTTGGGATGCTCTTCTCGTTGGATTTCATGCAAGTTGTCAACGAGCTTTTTGTGGTGTTCATACAGCTCAGCATAGTTATGGAACACTTCTTCGATAAATTGTTCGAGCCTGTCCCGGGGAATGATAGGTGGTTCAGCCTTCCGCAGGGGGACGATGTAAATCTATGCCAAATATTAGAAGCCAGCATCAGAAAAAGTGAGCTGCGAACTGACATAGTAGATGTTTTCCAGATCCTTTACATAAGACATCTCTCCCTTGATCAACTCAAAGATGATACTGAAGATGCGCTGTCAGATAAACAACAGGAACACAAGAAAAGAGCTTACGCTTGACGTTTCATCTCTTTCTTGCCAAACGTTGCTCTAACCTCGGGAGAAACTAAATCATGCCATTCCCATTTCCCTGGAGTTCCTTTACCCATAGCAGACTGGAACGTGCGAAGCTGAGCGACCGATTGTAGACTCTTGATGGCTTGAATAGCTTCCAACAAGAACTCTGCATCCGTGTTCTCGGCAGCTGTCTCTTTCTGGACAGCTTCCAGCAGCACAGGGTACTTTTGCAAATGTTCGGATGGACGATTAAGGAAGTGCTTGAGGTCGAGTTTTGGAGATTCTCCAGCACGGTGAGATTGCTCCCTTGAACATTGCTGAATTCAAGACATCAGAAAAAAGAAGGTGAGATGTAGCCTTGCCAAAACAATGCCTACCTCCAAGAACAGCCTGAAGGCAGAGTTCGACTCAGCTTCGTCTTTCAGTCTCTTCTCTGATATTGGAAGGTGACCGATATATGTCGGATACGCAAACCCGAAGTCCGACGCAGCTTGTAAAAAGATATCACCAATCTTCTGAATGATTGGCCCTTCCTCTCGCTGCCGAACATTCATTACCTCAAGTAAACGACGATTGGTCTCCCGAAGGTCGAGGATATTGCCGAAAACATCGTCGATGAAATCTTCCAATTGATCAGGTGGAAGCACAGGTGGCTTCACGGCACGTAATGGCTTGATGAACACCGATTCAACGAGATCCAAATCCTGGAGGTACTGCTTCTCTCTGGTTATGAGTCTGTGAATAATACTGCATGTGACGTCAGTAACTAGTCAAGTGTATATATTTAGTGTTCGAAAACCACGTACTTCTGCCTGTTAATTTCACTTTGAGGCAATTTTTCTAGAACCACTGGATCGATGGATTTTGTCCACTCCTCTTCGTCTGTTGTAACTTCGGGAGGAGTCTCCGCTGGCGGCACTTGCTGGGCTGTGATATAATTACCCTGAAAGATAAACAAGGTTAATGCCGATTCAGATATGACGTGAGCAAATCGTCCTACACACCTTGCGAGGACACGTGTAGGAGTAACATGGAATGCCATCTCCACAGCTTGGAGAATAGCACCTCGTCAACATGGTTATAACACCAGTCGGTAGCTCCTCACGCTCCCGGACCGCTTCAGACCCGCCTTCTTGATCGTCGAGGAACATGTAGACATCTTCTACACCATCTTGCAAGACCCGGCCGCCCCATTCAACTTCATAGAAGAATAATTGACTTTGAAGACTTCGAGCAACCTGCAAAGCTACACGCCTATCATTAGTGGACACACCATGGTTGATAGCGAGTTCTCTCTGAATCAAAGTTTGGATCGTGGACTGCAAATAGTAATAGATTAAACAATTTCGAAAACACAAGAAACTCTGTCAACGTACCACGATGTCTTTGCCGGTGAAAGCTCGAGGATATGGAATGCTACCCTTAACGTGCGTACCGCGAGGCACCTTATCACGCAACTGCATTGCAATATGG